GTTGCCGAGGGGTCATTGGCCCGCTGAGCTGGGGCAGGTGACTTCCCCACAACCACTTCAGTAGGAGGTTGGTCCGAATTCGATGGTGCAGAAAAGTCTGGAGCCGACTCAACGGACTCCGACCCATTGTTGTCGGACCAATAAGCAAACTCGCCGTTGACTGGTTTATTGGTGGGGCTAATTACCGATGGACCCGTTGTGTCCATCATCCCCAAATCATCCTTATCGGGGGCAATAGAGTCGCGAACTGGTTTTGGAGTGGCATCCGGAAAGAACCCTCGCGCAGGTGAGCGAGGGTCAATTGGAGCTGATTTGCGTTCCGTTGATGGGTCCAGATTGCGCTCACGTTTTCGGCCCTTGGCTGCTGAGCGACGCTCAGCCAATTCCGTTACTACCGTCGTCGTGTCAGGGTCGGTCCACGGGTGGCCTAGAAGTTCAACCGCAATGGCCCACACTTTAGCCAGAGGACGTAGTTCCAGTAGTAAACGAGGCTCAACCTCCAAAGTAAAATCCCAATACCGATTGAAAAAATTAGTCTCCTCCATCGGGTCATCCAACGGAAAAATCACCAGAGGATCCTGAACCGCCAGCCCAAGAATCAGTCCTCGGACATAGACGACGAGCTCCCGATCGTTTCCAATAAATTTGTCCCTGATGTCTCGGTCAAGCGCAGCTCGAATGCGTTGTTTGACCAAGTTCCAGTCCCCATCACAAATCTGTAGTAGCTTCTCGGCTGCTTCCTCCCAGGATTCAGTCGCCGGAGGGTCTAGGAAATTTTCAGAATACCCTTTGCACCAAGGCTAGTGGAAATCGGGCTCGTTCTCCCATGCCAAGAACAGCTTGTTTCCAAAGACCACTTCTTTTTTATTGTTGCGTTGACCACGAGCACGGTGGATTGTGCATAAATAGGCAAGGGTTTGCAGGTTCCACTGAGACAAATTGATGTTCTGGACAATGCGATCGTACTTCAGTGGATTCTCGACCTCCTCCATCTCGGTGTCGCTGTTGTTGTTGACGATTGGAGGGTCCAAATTGTCGGATTCCTTTTTCGATCGAATTTTGGCGGTTTCGGCTCGGCTTTTTTGCGACAAACTGATGCGACCCTGAGTAAGAGCAGTAGAATTAACAGGTTTAGCAGCAATTGCCACTTTCTTGTTGTTCTTCGACTTTCCCATTGTCAGTTTTGATGCAAAAAGGAGGAGCGAGTTTCGTTTTGCTACAGAAAAATGGTGTAGGCGAAGTACCAAAAGTGATGTTTTGAGGACCCGGATATGCGTGTTGTTTTTGTATTTTTGTTTTTTTGGAATATGTCTGCCCAGAGAGAAATCTCCTGCTCGCATCCATCATGACCATGTATTGTCAGTGGATACTGTACCTTCTGTCATGAAGTCCGTTTCTTTAGTCCAGTATTCCATATGGATCCTATCTTTCCACTTGTCGAAAATAGGTTTCGGATCCAGTTGACTGACTCTTGAGATCTCGGAAGAATACCAGATAGCGCAGTGGCAAAACATGGTATCCATTCACCGAGCTGTTGATAACCGTCCATCCAAATTAGGCAAGAGGAGAAGGACTCACCATATGGCTCTTGTGAAGCGTCGTGTGAGGTCAAAGGTGGTTCATTTTGTCCTTTAACGTGTGTGATCCATCGTTTGTTCTTGCCATACCAATCGGGAAAAATCGACTTACGATCTGTCAACGAGACACCTGATGTGTTTCAAAGGCTATTCCAGCATCCTATGATCATCAATGGGACAAAGAGATTGTTTTCATTTATTAGAACTATTCAATGCCTTCTTTTCATTCACAAAATTGAATCTGGAAAACGAAATAGAATGGTAGCTCTCTTATAATAGTATGCTTTTACAAATTGGTGCACACAGGATTCCCCAGTTCTCTACAAGTCTTTCCCTCTGATTCCACCATTTGATTGCAAAAACCCGCGACATCGCCATCCACACAACTGGGGAGGAAATTACCAACAAAGTTTTCGGATGGACAACCCGGTCCATCGCAGCAAGTGCAAGCCAAGAATTCCGCATCGGTACAGGAACCTTCCACCTGGCAGAGCACTTGGGAGTTGATGAATTGGGCGACTGGTTTGGTGCTGGCGATCTTATTGCAAGATGTCTCATCGATGCACAAAACATAAGATTGGTCAAACTCAGAGGACATGCATTGCGATGGTCCACATAACACTTGACAATCTCTGACTGTTTTTTGATTGCATTCGTACTCGGTGGAGAAGCAATCGATGGCCACATTGGTGCTGGGTTCTTTTCCCGTCAGCAAGGTACAAAAGTCAAATCTTGGAACGGTGGGTGAGTCGGAAGGAAAGGACGAAGGGATCGCCGATGGCGAAGGAGATGGATCCGGAGCAAAACAAGTGCACTCCGGTGGGCTGGGAAGGGGAACGGGGGACGATAGCACATCGTCTGGGTTCTCGAGTTTGAGTACATCCAATTCGGCCTTGGTGATTTGGGAGAGCCCGGTCATTTGGAATCGAATGGTTCCATCTTGTTGGTAGTAGACCGAAAAGGCATCGGGAAGGGAAGAAATGGTAGGCTGGAAGTACTCTTGAGTCTTGGAGTGAAACTGTGGATTTTCCCCGCTGATGATACGGTAAGGAACCTTGGCCTTCCAACTCATAATGTCACCGCCGTGAGTACTCATCCCCATGTCCAAGCTATTCCAAGATCCTGGAGATGATGGTTGATTCTCCACATCATAATATTGCATGCCCACGTACGGAACGGGAGCATAGAACTCGGCCTGTTCAAAGGTAGCCGGCATGTTGGGCACTCTGGAACGATCCACAACTGAAGATGGCAAAATGTAGAACTCCTTGGCGTGATCGGATGTCTGTGTCAACTCACAAGCTCGGACAATGCCAGGCATTTGAACGTTACTCTGCTCTTTGCAAGCGAGGTAGACCACTCGATCTTCCGGTCTCACCCTGAAAAATGAAATATCATAGTGTGGATGCGCATAATTACGTGGATAGGCCCCACATGGATGCCAATCTAGACTGATGTGCTGAAAACCGGTGGAGTTCCAAACATAATCGGAAAGACGCTTAAAAAACTTGCGGGGTTCTCGAAAGTCACGTCCATCAAGGTCGTGGATTTTGGTGCTTTCAAAAGTTTGACAACTTCCATCATAGTTGTCCGGTCCCATGGGTAGGTTTTCGTTGTGTTGGAATTCCAAGACAAATTCGTAGACACCTTGTTCATTGACAGTGAAGGAGTGTTGAGCACCAAATTGTGCCAAAGCGTTCACGTCGTCGCCGTTATCTTCCTCGCCCAACACTGACAACAGTTCGGAATCCGCAGAAGGTTGAGAAGAGGACGTGGGAGAGGAAGTAGTAGGATTGGTGGAGGGAATCTCAGAAGGCTTGTACGTAATTGTTGGGCGGGGTGAACCCGTTGGTCGAGTGTCAATAGTGGGCGGAAACGTCGGTGGATTGACTGGATTAAAGGACGGACTTTGCGATGCACTTGGAGCAAAGGTGGATCCAATATTCGCTTCGTTTTGATCTTTGAGGACCAAAATGATTCCAGCAATCAAAGCCCCAATAATCAAACAACAACAACAAAGAAGACAGATTCCAAACAATATCTTGCGACAGCGATCTCGGTCAGGATTGCGGTACTTGACGGAGTTTGACTTGCGCGTGGCGTAAATGCTGTAGTCGACTTCGTTTTCCTCTCCACGGACTCCTGTTCGTCCCGTGTAATCGTAGTCGGGTTCATCATAGTAGTAGTCGGGTTGAGGTTCAGGAGGTTCCTCGTAAGCTACAAGACTCGTCGCCTCGGGCTGGGAGTTGTAAGGTGGCTGTCCTTGTTGGTGTGCCATTGTATTTGGTTTCTTGAGTTGTACCGATAAGCAAGAGAAGAAGAGAAACGAACACAAATACAGGTTTGGACCACTCGGAGGTACCAGGTACCTACCGGTACCGATACAGCAGGTGCTGAGATTTTTTGCATTTTGGGGATGACTGTGACTTTCGTAGTGTACACGTGTACCGTGCGACAGATTGTTGTCGCATCAGTGTCTCACGAAGACCATAAAACATAGTATCGGGGTGCTACCTGCTACTTATTGGTTATTGGTACCAGGTACTGTACAGTGTACCTTGTACCACCGTTGGGGTCTAAAGAAAATGATGCTCTACAGTATGCTCAGCTCAACTTACTCGGATGCTCATCTCACTACAAAAGTCGATTCTGTCGTAGCCCTTGAGTGGGCTAGCATGCCCATCCTGTCTGCTTTGTTTGTGCACCTTTAATGTCCATTGTCCATTGTATCGTTCAGGCGCCCATGTTGATCATCATGATACGGACAAAATCGCAATAACTCGTCACTCTCCCATCCCACGATGAATGATTGACTGAAGCAATCATTGACTCGCTCCACAAGCAGCCAGAAAATTTGGATCATTCATTCCATCTTCTAGTACCACGGGCTCCCATTTTCCAGGGATAGTCTCTCCTGCCTGCACTCTTAATTTTTCTGCCGAGTAGGACCCAGTCGCTACGGCAACCATACCAACGCAAAGATTATCCTCACCTCCTTTCAGTGTTTCGCTAAATGCCTTGGCAGCCAATACGTCAGCAGGAGCATCTCCCACGTGTACAACTCTTTCCAATTGTTTCGTTGGTTCATCCTGGAGCAAAGATCGGCATCTTTCAGTAGCAATAGCAATCTGCTCTCCTCTGTCCAAGTGATTTCGCGCAATATCGTCAATATTCCCGCTACAAAAGTCGGATCCAAAGCCACCCAAAAATGCAATATCTTCGGTACCAGGCCATGTTTTCTGCATCGGACTGGGAGGGCTTAGGGCTTGTGTATCCCAAACTCCAACGGCCCTCATCTTTAGGCGGGCAATTCCCTCCACATTTCCAGTTACCAGCCCGCACATGACCTCATCGTTAATTTGGGATAGTGTCTTCAACTGATCCAGCACACCTGGAAGCGGGGAAATGAGGTTGGCGACTTCTTCGTCGGAGCAAGCAGACATGTACTCAAACATGCATTGGAAGATTTGCTCCAGTTTCGGATAGGATACATCCGTGTCTATTCCAAGCGTTGCCTTGGCCAATCGAAGAGATATCAAACCATCCGTGCTACCATGATACAAATCTTGAAGCATTGTCAGCACCAAGAACCACAGTATCAGCAAAAGCGAGAGGTCACTGAAGTACATCCTCAAGTCCAATATTTACTTACTACCTGGCAAGGCTTTCGCTACGGGCGTCACAGATTTCCCATCGCCCAAAATAGTGCCAACCGCATGGGAGAAAGCTTTGGCATGCGCCGATTCTGCTGCTGCCTGACCTGATCCTTTTACCAAAGTGCCATCCACATCAAAGGTGATCAAGGTAAACGCGTTTGTTTGGACTGATACTAGTAGAAGTCCAATAGTAAACAACCACTGGACGCTCATAATGATACTAACTTTCCAACCCACAGTACGTTGTGAATGGATCACTGGAGATTGTAATACCGGTATATGATGAGCAATATTTTATACCTACAGTTAAGAGTTTTTTTTTTAGAGAAACACCCCCTTAACCGATCGGGGGTCAGATAGCCCCCTAGGGGGCTATCCCCCCCCAAACTTCAACTTCAAGCAATGGATGACTATGATAAAAGACGAATTTACCGCTGCGGATCAAGCACATTATATTTACCAAAAGACACCGGCCCGGTCCGTCTGACCTCCACCTCCAACAGGTCGCTGGAGAAGTGGAAGGAGCAATTGGGCCTTGAACAAAATTCCAAATTCCATTATAAAAATTAATTCCAAATTTATCGCAAGCACGTGCTATCGACTGTAACGACCAACGGTGAACATGCCCGCTTCCTCGCAGAAACACAAAAACACAACAGCAAAGACACAAAAACATTTTTTCCACCAAAACATCAACTACATGAGCAAACTGATGCTTTGACCCCCCTGCCTCTTTGTGGTCTCAACCCAGTCAACAAATCGAACGCTTCCGTTTCTTCACATCTGTAGTAGGCTAGTGGCATTCCACACTCCTCAGAGACAGGTTCCTTCATCCGCTTCTGCATCCTGAGCTTTTTGCACAACTGTTCCTCAACTTTCATTGCGCAAAGTGACAAATAGTGTGCACCATAAAAGGCCCATTGTGTCGTGCCAAGTCCTCGCTTTTATAAGGTTGGAGATTTGGTGCATTGAAGTAAATAAGATGACAGGACCGTCTACAGGAAGGGATGCTACTGCTGGTACTACAGCAAAGAAGAAAAGGAAGCCCAGGGAGACTGTGGTCCCTCCACAAATGAGCACCCGTTCCAAGTCAAAACAAAAGACCCAAATCAACCAGTCTCCCGGTGCCACTCTTGTTGACTGGTATAAAATGAGGAATGCACATCAGCCTGATGCCGAAAAATTTGTCAGCAAGCTCAAGTCCAAATATTTCACAATAGAGGGAAATGATTCTTATCTAAATTGGCAAGTTTTTGGAGGTTTTGCTGGGGCATGCTTCAATGCCCCGCCGTCCAACGTATGCTTCTTGAATGGATTGCTAGATCAAGGGCCCAACAAAATCGGACCAGCAGCGAATGGATTGCTAGATGAAGAGCAAAAAAAAATCAGTCCAGTAGAGAAAGGTGCACCTGCCGCCACAATAATGCGTGAAGACGGGGCACCCTTAGATTATTGGAAGCCATCCTCTCCAACAAGAAGGAGAAGAGACATTGATAATGGTGAGCAAAGTTGGGCGCAGCAGTTGAGAATGAAGAGGGAGTTGCAACCTTTCATGGCAGGGAAAGAGTCTGAAGAGGTGGGAGAAAACTTTAATGAATTTCTGACAGGTCTTGACAAAATGTTACAACCCAAAGCACACAAAGAATCAAAGAAGCAGTTCAAAGCTCGAACTGAAAAGGCTCGAACCTCCTACCAAAAGAAACTGAAGGAACACTATGGTGATGTAGACCACAATGCATCCGAATTGTTAAAGAAATACAACATCGAGGAGCCAAATGCACACAAGTCCAAACCAGGCGAAATTTGGAAGATTCGGTATGAGCCACGCAACGCAGAGAAATCTTTACCTACCTTTACAATATTCCTGGGATCTCAAAAAAAGAACAAGAGTTCCATCTCTAACGTAACAGTTGGTTATGTCAAATACTATCTTGGCAGTGGATTTGTAGACAGATGCATTGCTTATGGAGAAAGGTGTTCGGAAAGGGGACTCAATCAACCGGCATTCTTTGTGCCACTTGGAGACAGCAACACTGATGTCGCACCTGACCATTGCCTTGTACAATTTAAAGACAATGGGGACCGGTTGAAGACTCTTCCATATGTGCAAGGAGCAAACGATTGCTGCCTTGGTTTTTCTTTTGCCAATGCTCTGCACCACTTGAATTTTCAAACAGAGGGCTATGGCCTATATCAGCAATCACACGATTTGAGTGGCTTTGATGCAATCACTCAATTGAAATGGCTCTCACATTGGGTGCGGCGCTCTGTTAGAGGTGTGAATCCATCATCTGTTCAGAAGTGCAAGGACAATTGTGATGGGATGGTTGGGGTTGCCAACTGTATCAAATTCTTACAACAACAGGAGCTAGTTGTGTTTGTTCCGAAAGCGAAGGATGGGACCAACACTCATGCAGTGACATTCTTCAATGGATTGATATTTGATTCCACCCAGAAGTATGCCATGAAACTATCTCCGGATGCATTAGACTTTATAGCCGGAACTTGTGGCTTTGCAGGCATTTGGCGTTCCCGTCTTTTCACCTTTACCAACGAGCTAAAAAAAGGTCAACTAAAGATCGATGGGTAAACTAAAGGTTGGGGGTCTATTCCTGCCACTAGCAATGATATCTGGGATAGGAGTTCTGCAAACTCTTTTTTGCCCTGCTGATAGGGTAATTGAAGGATTGTAGTTCATGCTCATCAGATCCTTGGAGTCTCTCCTGCTGGCTTTGACTGAGACCCTCTACCATTATTGTATTGATTTCCTTTTCGCCTTCAAGGAGTACATTGTAATAACACTGCAATAGATTTGTCTTCTCATGACACAAACCCATTAGCTCTTTTTGCTTCTGCAGAATCATCGCGAGCAATCTATCCTTGGTTTTACCATGTTTGGGTTGATCCAAGAACATGGTATTCATATTGTAGGCTTGTTTGGCGGACTCTTGTGCAGCATCAAACCCTGTATTGTCTATTTCGTCATTGTCTGAGTCCAAACATGACTCAAAACATGAGTCCAAGCAAGTTTCCTGGGAAAAATAGAGCGGAACACCCTTCCTGACAAGCTGAGACAAGGGTAAACGATCATTGCACTCTTCAGCACTGTAGTTCCAACAGTGCAGTCTATTACTCCGGTATAGTGCAAGCACCTGTTGCAGAGTGGTTTTCCTTTCTTCTTCTTGTCTTCTATTCAATGTAATTAGACAGGGTTGGAAGCTCTGTCCAGCCACCCCCTTTAGCCTTTCTTTCAACCACTCACTCTTTACCAGGATTCCCTGGTGTTCAACCTTGCTCAATTCAGCAAACAATCTGGTCATAGTCTTCTCCTTTCCGTTTGAATACGCATACAAGTCATAGTCGTTGCGCCAACGACAGGCAATATCGGAAAGATCGTATTGGTGTTCAATGGAGAGTAAATGGCGACAGGGCAATCCATAGTGCTGTTTATGGCGGCATGAGCACTTCAGCACAACACGGTTGCTATCTTCCTTGTCCACTTCCACAATGTTGACCGACCTGAACCTGGGACGACCTTTGAACCATGCTGGGCACCCATGCGGCCGGGAGACATGACTCTGATCCAAAATCACACAGAATGAATCGGGTGAGATCTGGGCAACCACATAGTTGCCGGCACTCTGTTCCACTTGATCCATCATAATAGATCGGCCAATAGGTACAAGCTCTTTGAAACAATCTGAGTTGTGCCTTTTGTTACCCCTTTCAAGGAATAAGGGTGTATCCTCAAATTGGCGCAACTTCTTTTTCTTCCTCTCTCGATTCTTCATGTCATCATGGCTATGCATGGCTCCAGCGGAAGTGACCATTTTCTGATCTGGCTTTGCGGACATTGAACTGTGTTTGGCAGCATAGTTTAATCCCTCGGTTGCATTAGTAACATATTCCCCAAGGCACCGATGGTCTCGTTTCATGTAGTGGGCAAAGTTCTTTTCATGGGGCAGTACATCTGTGTCGACCCAGTCCATGAGTTTGCCGACGCTCTCCAGCCCCATGACCTCTTGTAGCTGTTCATTGTTCCGCAATTCATCCAGCAACAAGTTTTTGGAGAACATAAACTCTTCCTCAGTGAGACAGGAAGATCCGTCTGCCCAAGAACGGACCCAACCTTCAATTTCTTGCAGTATAGCCTCTCCCAATACCCTATTTTTGAAATAAGAAGGCGCAATGGATTTCTTTTGCAACGTTTTCTTAATGAGGTGGTGCCCACATCTACCCCGAAGTGCATTTGGTAGCAACTTAAGCATTGAATTTTCAAGAGCTGAGAATTCATTAGAATCACCATCAGTTAGAACCAAATTGACCCGCTCCAAATGCTCCTTGCCTAACATTGATGGGAGGGCCTCCTGAAAGACCCAGTTATAAAATGCGGAAGTTTCATTTGGCATGAACACACGCAGTATAACGAAGGCTTTGCCATCAGAGTCCCGACCACAAATGAGTAGAAGAGGGCGGCCTTCATTGTTAGTTTTGTGCGTGGCATCCATGAAAAGTACTTCTGGGTACCTCAAAAACTGGCGTTTGTCCTCCTCTACCATCCAGGAAGCCCCAATGAGAACACGGCTTCGGTTTGAGTTCACCCAAGGACATTTTGAATTGAGGTGAAGCCGTATCTCGCTTTGGGTTGTTAGCTGTTCCATGGGTGCAACAGATTTCAGCGGAATTTTGGTCTCCTCTTTTGACATTTGATTGATAGAATCAAGACCATCTGTCTCCCCTTCCTCGGTTGTACTATTTACGTTTCCAATTGTGAATAGTTGTCCACATGCTTCCTTGGCTTTGCTTGTCTTAGACAATCCGACAATTGGCGAGTGATCTGTGTATGTGAGGTTTTTAGCAACTTCAATGGGTGCCATGGGCGGATTGCTTTTGGATGGTCATCCGACTGGCTTCCGGATGAAATCTGAAACAAGGTTGAGTGTCTCAGGTCTAATTTCATACGATAGAACACAATAAGACATCTTTGAATCACCAGGCTTGGAGGCTTCACGGCGGAGCCAGTTCAGAAGCTCAGAGGCTGATGACCGGCCAGTTCCCGGTTTGGCGGTTATAGCATCAGGGGCTGTTTCTATCACTCTTCTATGTGTGGAGGCAGATATGAAACCGTGTCTGAGTTCAAGTAACACTTTTCGTGCTTGAGTGCCTCCAACAAATGCATGCTGTTGGGCATAGATGATCCGACATTGTTCCTTTGTCAACAGGTTGGCAGGAATACTTAGTTCACCATTCTGAGGCTGTATGTGATGCTGATGCATGTTGTTTCCGGTGCACTTAAGGAATATATACCCACCGCCAGGTAGAGCATTGTCTTTGTGGATACCAAAAGTCAGCTTCAAGCGGCAAAGGAGATTACCAGTTGTATCTTTAGCAGTGGTTGTGGCACGTTTCCTTTTCTGGCCGTTGTCCCTGTTATTTCTTCTATCATTGTGCAGTCCCTTTCTCCTTATATCAGCCGCAATTCCACATGGGTCATAGTCGTTGGGGTCGTCTTTATTTGTTGTAGCACTTATTCTGCATCTGTAGCACCTGAGTAGGCCAGTTTTTGGATCAGCATGAAATTTGGACCCGTGGTAACATGCAATCACCCTGAGATGGTTCATAAGCTCCTTTCTTCCAATGGGGGTGGGGGGAAATTGCAGAGGATCGAACCTAATAGCATGATCCCGGCGCCACTGTTGTTCTTTGCCTACATAGTCAAATAAATTGACTGTCTCGTCTTCATGGTCAATCAAGCCTTTAAAGGGAAGTACGGCCTTCCACTGCAGCTCCCTTGCTTTTGCATTTTGCAATTGGTGTTCTAAATAACTTTGTGATGATGGTTCGGCCAAGAGAGACATGGGGAATGCGTTCTTTTCTAAGGCAATGACAACAAGTTATGATGGACGGTGACCTGGGGGAAGGGCGGGGGCAGGTTGTTTTCATGTGCAAAGCTACTTTTTTGGATTGTGTCATGTGTGTTGCTACTTTTTTGAGAGACGTCGGTGCCAAACTTATTTTCCGACTCTTTGTCTGTCCATCCACTCACATTATTCAAGCGACCTGTTGGAGGTGGAGGCCAGACTGACCGTGCCGGTGTCTTTTGGTAAATATAATGTGCTTGTACCGCAGCATTGAACACTAATATTGTACTCATCAAAACAGCTTGGATTCAGGCTTACTTTCTATATATTATATAGACCTGCATAGTCACGCGCGGTATTTGATAAAGTTCAATTTAAAATTGTTCTCGTCATTTGGTCATTTGTTGTGATCCATCATTGTTTTTCCGATCTGTCAATGAGCGTCATTATGGCATGATGCACACTATGAGAATGAATAGATGATGCGTTATTCTAATCCGATGGATGTAGTGGTGGTGATGATCTAGAAGTCTCCGGAGACTGCACTTCGCAAGACCACGGGAAATACCATGGATGGTGTCCCTTCCGATGAGATCCAATCATCCAGCCCACCGAAACGATGAATTCACTATGACTTAACCTAGATCAAAAGGGATTTGATATCAGTTGATAATAAAATTGTGAGCATTAGAATAGTGGTTTTAGGTGCGCTATCTAGTCTTGGTTTGGCCAAGCTTTGGCCCGAAATATTCAGTAACGGTGCTGAAATATTCAGTAACGATCAAAGTACTTAGGAGGGCCAATAATAGTTAGGCCTGGAATATTGAGTAACCGATAGGAGTATAACAAAAGCGTCTGTTAAAAAGAGCGTAAGATGTAGCGTCTGCTGGAAGTACGTTGGAAGTCTAGCCGGATGACCAACGGTCTGTAGAGAGTACGTCACGATGGATCGGGTCGCCCTCTGCGAACACTTCTCGAAACAGAACCTTTGGATTCAACAAGGATAGCAGAGAACTCTCTTCCGCTTCATCCGTGTTATTGGGTTACGACGGTGACATCAAGACATTT